GAACTACAAAACAGCCAGAAAACAATAAGAAGGTATTAGTAAGTCCTTACCTATCAATAATTATTCTAAATAAAAATGGACTGATTCTCCAATCAAAAGAGATGACTATGAACAGTTATATGTCAACAAAATGGTTAACCTAGAAGAAATAGATAAATTACTACAAACATAGAACCTACCAAGTCTGAATCAGGAAGCACAAATAACAATTAAGGACACTAAATCAGTAATCAGAAACTTCCCAACAAAGAAGAATCCATGACTATTCAGTTTCCTTGGTGAATTCTACCAAACATTAATGAAGAATTAATGCCAATCTTGTTTAAACTCTTCCAAAAACCCTGAAGAGGGCACATCCCCCAAACTCATTTTACAGCATTAGTCTGATACCAAAGCTAGATAAGAACACCACAAGAAAACTACAGACCAATATCCCTGGTGAATATAGATGCAAAAGTTCTCCACAAAATACTAGCAAACCAAATTCAACAGCACATTAAAAGGATTATAAAATAGAATCAGGCAGGATATATCTCTGGGATGCAAGGATAGTTCAATATACACAAATCAGAAAATAAGATATATCCCATTAACTGAAGGATAAAATTCACATGATCACCTCAACAGATGCAGAAAAAGCATGTGACAAAATATACAACATTCTCTGATGATAAAAATGTTCAACAAATTGGGTAGAGAAGGAACATACCTCAACATAATAAGGACCATATATGACAAGTTCACAGCTAACATCATCATACTCAATGGTGAAAAGTTGGAAGCTTTTCCTCTAAGATCAAAAACAAGACAAGGGTGCCCACTCTTTCCACTTCTGTTAAACACAGTACTGGAAGCCCAGCAAGAGTAATCAGGCAAGAAAAAGAAACAAAAGGTATCCGAATCAGAAAAAAAGGAGTAAAATTGTCTTTCTTTTCAGATGATATAATCTTACACACAGAAAATTCTAAAGGATTCATCAAAATTATCCTAAAACTAATAATCAAGATACAGAAATCAGTTGCATTTCTATAACAACAAAAAATCTGAAAAAGAAATAAAGAAAACAATCCCATTCTTAATAGCCTCAAAACAGTAAAATACTTAGGAATATAGATAACCAAGAAGGTCAAAGATCCACACACTGAAAGCTGCAATTTTTAAAAATCAAGGTACAGCTGACACACAATGTTATATTAGTCTCTGGTATATCACGTAGGATTTGACAATTCTATACAATATACTATGCTCACCACAATAAATGTTCTTACCATCTGTCACCATACAACATTATTACAACATATATTCCCTATGCTATACTTTTCATCTCCAAGTTTGTACCTTTTAATCCCCTTAACCTATTTTGCCTACTCCCAAAGCCCCTTCCCTCTGGCAACCACGAGATTGTTCTATTTATGAATCTGTTGTTTGTTCATCTTTTTTCAGACTGCACATATAAATGAAACCATACAGTATTTGTCTCTTATTTCACTTAGCATAATACCCTCTGGGTCTAATCCATGTTGTTGCAAATGGTAAGATGTCATTCTTTTCTATGGCTGAGTAATATTTTATTGCGTATATTTACCACCCCTTCATTCATCTATCACCCGACACTTAGGTTGCTTCCATATATTCACTATTGTAAATAATGCTGCAGTAAACATAGGTGTGCATTATCTTTTCAAATTAGGGTTTTTATTTTCTTTGGGTAAATAACCCAATAGTGGAATTACTGAATCATATGGTATTTTTATTCTTAATTTACCTCCCTACTGTTTTCCATAGTGATTGCACCACAATTTATATTCCCACCAACAGAGGTTCCCTTTTTTTCCATATCCTTGCCAACACTATTTCTTGTCTTTTTGGTATTAGCCATTCTGAGAGGTGTGAGGTGATACCTCATTGTGGCTTTGATTTGCATTTCCCTGAGGATGAGTGATTTGAGCATTCATAGGTCTATGGCCATCTCTATGTCTTCTTTGGGAAAAATGCCTATTCAGGTCCCCTGTCCATTTTTTAATTGGATTATTTGGGGGTTTGGTGTTGAGTTGTACAAGTTCTTCATATATTTTGGATATTAACCCCTTTTCAGATACATCGTTTGCAAATATTTTCTCCCATTCAATAGGTTCCCTTTCATTTTGTTGATGGTTTCCTTTGCTTTAAATATTCTCACTGCAAAAAAGTAGTAGTAATTATGTGACATGATGAAAGTGTCCATCATTTCAAAAACTCTGTGAATGGTGAAACTTCCTGGCAAGTCAAATTGATAGGACAAATGCTTAATAATTCAAATTCTTAAAGGGTACAGCCACTGAAACTTAAAGCATGATACATTATTTGTTAAAATCTACCTCTGAAATTGTGACTTTATTTCCAACAGATAGCTCTGAAGTTCTCTTGAAATCAATGCTTCTACTGAGCTCAGGGAAATTCACAGTGAGAAATAAATACAATCCTAGAGTGTATTCAATTCACATTTCAAGTTTGAGTCTGAACATTTAAATAAACGGTCAATATTCTCTTGGAAGGGGGCGCCTGGGTGGCTCAGTTGTTAAGCGTCTGCCTTCCGCTCAGGTCATGGTCCCGGGGTCCTGGGATTGAGCTCCACGTTGGGCTCCCTGCTCAGTGGGAAGCCTGCTTCTGCCTCTCCCACTCCCCCTGCTTGTGTTCCCTCTCTCACTGTGTCTCTCTCTGTAAAATCTTAAAAAAAAAAAAAAAATTCTCCTGGAGGAATTCTAGAGCAGTGGTTCCAAGACCAGCAGCATCAAGCTTCACCTAGGAACTTGTTAGAAATGTGAACTCCCCGGCTATAGCGGCTGAAACTGAGACCCCCTTGTTTTAACAAGCCTCCTAGGTGATTCTCTTGCCCACAAAAGCTTGATAATCATGGTCCTCAGCATTTCAATATGAAATGCCCTAATAAAATAGTAGAGGTAATGTCAGTGCTTTCTAATTACACTCAGTCTGGAAATGGGGAACTGCCTGCCTTGGGTGCTGCACGGGATGGGACCCAGCAACTCAGCCACGTGTTAGCTAAAGAGCCATGTCAACAGAGAGGGAGCCAAATCATGAGAGACTCTTGACTCCGGGAAGCAAACTGAGGGTTGTGGAAAGGGAGCTGGGTGGGGCAATAGGGTGACTGGGTGATGGGCATCAAGAAGAGCACGTGATGTGATGAGCACTGGGTGTTATACGCAACTAATGAATCACTGAACACTACACCAAAAACTAATGATGAACTACTATATGTTGGGTAATTAAATTTGAATTAAAAAAAAATAAAGAGCCATGTCAAAAAAGGGCACGAGTCTCTGTTGGAGAGATAACATCTAAATAAGGAAAAAGCAATGCAATACTTTATTGATACTTCCATTCCCCATATCCTCTTTTTGTTCGGATCCATTCTCAGTTTTATGATCTTGTCATTTTTATTAAATCTCCTTACTTCCATGGAGTGAATAATTTTGGTGGATTTCAACAACAGGGTTGGTTGGCATGTGGGTCTAATGGGTTCTTATCTGAAATTTATTTAAATAGAAATCTCTTAACAAATATTTATGACCAGATCCTGGTGATGCAGAATGGGAGACACTAGAATGTGTAACTACTATCTCAGTGGCCTAAGACATATCGATTTATACAATCCTTGGCCAAACTGTCCCAGAGCCCAAACTGTGTCCCATATGCCGGGGCTTAGGGAGGTTAGGGTGACTTCGGAATACAATGAGGAAAGAGATCCTTCTTTCACTGATGTGAAACAGTTGCACTTTATCTTCTTGTCAAGAAGCAAAGCCTTGAAGTCACTGCTACCCTGTATTTATCAAAAGTTTAATTCAGAGAAATAACATCTGAAAATGGTTTGAGGGAGACCCAGTCCACCTATTCCTCCAGAGAGCCTCAAATATCCACCTGGATTCCGCCAAACCAGCAGAGAGAGGCAGCAAGCCCATAAAAAGAGATACCACATCAGTCCCTTACAAACCGCATTTGTGAACCATGCTTCCACGCGTTGTCATTCCCTATATAGGGAAGCTATAGAAAATAACCCTGTGAAATGAGTCACAGCATCTCAGGTAAGAATGTTCATTGTATTATTGAATCCTTTTTATAAAATCCTTAGGGAAGTTTTGTCTCATCTAGGTATGTATCTCTTGAACAATAAGTTTTCATCTTAGAAATACTGAAATTTGTAACAAATTGTATTTCCCTATATATGTCAGCTTGGGCTAGATTTGAGGTATCTTGAAGATGTATATGTAAACATACATATACATGCATTTACACACACACACACACACTCTCTCTCTCTCTCTCTCTCTCATACAGGTTTCCCCCACTATCCAAAAGTAGAGTTGCTATGAAAACTTCCATAAGCCAAAATAGCATAAAGCAAAGAGGAAACATTTTTGAGCATTCCCAGACCCCAAAAATAACCTCTGTTAGGCTTTTCTGATACTGTAGGACACATCTTGCTAATGGATGCACAAACTAAGTCAAGAAAAAGCACAGACGCTTGCTCACAGATACAGCCCAAAGCTCCGGCGGCCTGATGCGGAGATGCTGCGTGTGGGTCCCAGGGCAGGAGCCGGGGGGGCCCCTCTCGCTGCTCCAGGTGCTGCCCCGTAACAGCTCGCTGCAAAATGGACTCTGAAGGCTATTTCTGCTTCTGGCTTTTTTTCATAAAAGTAAAAATTCTCTCTGGATTTCTTTCAGTTAGCTAGCAAAAACAGGTACAAATATAGATCTTTTGTAAAAGCAACATGGTGTAACACGAACTTTCAAAAAGCAGGAGATATACCTGTACACATCAATATTTGCATCCTACACAGCACCTGGAAAATGCCCTGCACCCAGTAAATGTGCGGCATTAGCAGGTTGGCTGACGAATCCACCTGCCCATTCCCAGCACTGTTTCCAGAGATGCAAGCTGGAGCAACTGCTTTACTCAATACATTAGAAATGGATAAAAAGAGAGGATATAATTAAATAATTACCTGTAAAACTGTATTTTTGATTTCAGAAATAGCTTTATCTCTGATATCCTCAAGCTGCTTCAGTGCCTGGGTGGCTTGCTGTAACTGTTCTTTACAAAATTCATCTAGAGAATATGTTCGAGACCTATCCAGCTAATTAAATGACAATAAACGTTGAGTGTTGGAAAGTCAAAGTTCATTACGAAAAAAAAGAGATACAAAATATTATGGTCACCCTTTCATGTCATAAAGAGCATATTTTATCCTTCCTTTTGTATACATTATGCTTTATATACCAAATGCTTTTTACGTTCTTCAAATCCAAACACCAGTAGTTCAACTAAATCTTGATAAAAGACAGAAAAATACATTATTGTTTTAATTGTAACTAAAATTAAGCCTCAGCAGAAAAATTCAAAACTTGATGTATTTTTGAAATATCTATGAACCCAGGGGAACCACCAAATCCTGGGACTGCTTTTACCTTTGAAATCCTAACAATTATGTGTAAGACTTAAAAACACAAGCACTAAATGTGGGATAAAGAGGCTAAAATTACATAATCCAAGTGACATGCATGTTCTTCTGTGCTCATTCGAAATGTGGCCTGGAGAAATTCCAACTCCTATGCTACCGAGCCCTGCCATACACAAACAATGCATATCCCAGCATCCTTCTTCTTGTAGAATTTTCTCATTTTTCCCACATTCTGTTAATTCTCTTGCCAAAATGCATTTTCATCAATAAATAGCAGACATCTTTATCCCTAGTTATACTGCAATATTTTATAAATGTACACTTCCCTCAAAAAAAAAAATCAAAAAGTGCTGTTCTAGCCTTAAAATTCTGGATTAACTCTTTCTCTGTGTTCTCCTTCTCCTGGTCCCATATCTGGCTACCAGGTCCTGAGTTTTCCAGCACGTGTGTCTCAAAATCTCCCTTCCTTTCTGATCTCACTGCTAACCTCCTACCTGAAGCCGTTCTTGCTCACACCTGCGTTATTCCAGCACTCTACTAGCAATCTCTTTAACTCTGTATCTCCTTGCTTTCAGTTTTTCCCATAAGCCAACATCACATTGATTTTCCTACAATAACATGTTCAGAAACTTTCATTAATTGTTCTTTAAGAATATGGGGTGCCTGGATGGCTCAGTCGGTTAAGCCTCTGCCTTTGGCTCAGGTCACGATCTCGGGGTCCTGGGATCAAGCCCCACGTCAGGCTCTCTGCTCATCAGAGAGACTGCTTCTCCCTCTCCCTACTGCCCCCCCGCTTGTGCTCTCTCTCACTATCTCTGTCAAATAAATAAATAAAATCTTAAAAAAAAATGGTTCTCAGGGTGCCTGGATGGCTCTGTGGATTGAGCATCTGAGTCCTGATCTCAGCTCAGGTCTTGATCTCAGGGTTGTGAATTCAAGCCCCACACTGGGCTCCACACTGGGCAAAGAGGAGCCTACTTAAAAAAAGAATAGTTCTCAATGTTTACTTTGCATAGGAAATCACCAAGGGGGCTCACAAAAAGTGTAGATTACTAGCACCACTCACCACACTCTCTCCCAAAAGGGGTAGGACACAAATTTACATTTTTATTAAGCATTCAAAATACTGCCTCCCCCAACGCAATCATTCTTGAACCCCAAGTCCCAACTCTTTAGCTGGTTCTGTGGCTTTGGATAAATCACTGTCCCTCTAGGACTTGGTTTCTCAGTTGAAAGGGAAGGTCTGGATACAATGATCCACGTGTGCCCTGTGCCATACAGTTGCAGACACCGAGCCCCTGCACAGTGCGGGTTCATCCTGGCAGAACACCAGCACCCGCATGCACTCCACTCTAACTTCTGAATGGCCCCTCGTCTGCACTGCTGCCCTTGCTTCGTCCCCCTGCCTCCTCTTTGTCCACCCTCATTGGTACCTGCATCCCCAGCAGTCCTAACGTACAAGTGGCCATCTTGTGATTCCTGACTCCATATGTCAGGTCCTCCTGGCCATGAAACTCTGTTCTCCCTCCAATTGGCCCTGGTTTCTCCAGACAATCTCAGAAACTCCTATTCTTGCTAACGTTCTTCACAACCCCCACTAGGAGTGCCCCAGCCCTAATGCCCAGGTTCGGCTCCTACTTCTCTCTTATTCTGTTATTCTTGGCCCAACATTCAAGACCCAACCTAACTTTCATATCAAACATATATTGAAAAGAGGGCATGTTCTGCATGGAGCACTGGGTGTTATGCACAAACAATGAATCATGGAACACTACATCAAAAACTAATGATGTAATGTATGGTGATTAACATAATAAAAAAAACATATATTAAATGCTTTACTCACATTCTGCTGCCTGGCTATTCCAATCCAGTGTGGCCTAGCTCATAATGTGCTTCCTTTATGAAACATGCCCTGACTTTAACTGCTTCCTCTGAATATCTGAGGCAAGAATATTTTACAAGTATTTTACAGGTATTGTGTGCCAGGAAACCTCCCTTGCCTTATATTTTGCTAACTGGCTAGCTAGAATGAACAGAAAAACCAACGGACTACCTCTGGAATTAGCGATCATTTTTAAATGTAAAGAATTATCTCTTCCAATAAACTGCAAGCAAATTAAAAATAGCAGTAACTCATTTTTAGTTTGTATCCATCTCCTTTGCATATAATAATTAACAAATATTTACAAATTGTCTGGAAAGCTGTGTTCCCTTCCTCTTGACATTCTGGGGGAAGCTGATAGGGTCTAAGGTCACTCCGTTAGCATTACCATCCAGCAGGCACGGGCATTCACAGATATTCCGAAGTCTCCTCTGCCTTACTGCCCACCACTAACCAATAAATTCTGCCCCTAAGTCACTCATAAAACAATCTAATATAGCTGCCCAACCAATCTCCTTCTAGAATAAAACCATATCAAAAATATTCCTCTATGAAATGTGTCCTTAACTTGAATGGTAATCCTGTTGAAACATTCATCTCAATATAGCTATAAAAAATGTACTTCATCTGTAGTAATTAGTCTCTCTTCATTATTTATTTATTCACTCAAAGACTATTTATTAAGCATGTCACATATCAGCCATTGTATATAATCAAGTCTAAAAGTAAGCTACTGATTTATAAGTATTAAACTTATTACACGTGTATAGTCAACACAATTTTTGAGTTGATGATCAAATTTCAAACTTGTCCACATCCTTTTACTATTTTTAAGTCTAGGTGACTATCAATTTTACTTTTCAGTACCTTCCTCACTCAGTGGGTAAATGAAGTAAAAGCTGCTGGAATCCTGTTCAATTGTATATTAAACACTTAAAACATATACTTCTATGTACTTTAACCTCTTTAAAAGAACTATTCTATATAAACTGAATTAAATCATCCACTAAGAAGGTCACCTTTTCTTAGAATTGTGGAACAGATGAATTCATAAATTTAACCAAAACCTCTGTGTTGTAACTCATGACAATTTCTTGACATGCTATATTGAGAGACTAGCTGGTAACTATCAATTGTAGTTGAGATAACTATTTATAAATGATATTGCACATTCAGAGTTTTGAAAATAGAGAAAAGGCCTCATAACAGACTTCGGTTGAGTTTAGGGAAGAAATTATGTATAAGGAATGTTGTTAATTATTAAAAATGACTATCCAAGGGAATAATGTTCTTTGCGAGTATTTTAGAACATGAGTCATGCATCGTGACCGTTTACTGATGGATCTAGCAGTATGAATTCCTTCAACTCAAAACTCTATTTGTCTTCCTGGTTTCCACATACAAACACTAGCATACAGCAGTGCACTTCTACCCACCTTTATGAGGCATATGGCAGACGGATGGTCTTTGTGTTCGTTACCTTTTTTGATATCAACTGCATCTTCACAAAGTCCCTTTATATAAAGCAAACAGCCTTGAAATAACTCATCGGCCCAAAAAAGATGGCGGTACAAAAACGACCTGAAAGTTAAAAGAATTTCCAGACTTATCTCCCATTCAAAAATGAGTACAATGAATTTAGAGGTACCCAGTATAATTTGTTTTGTATCCATATGAGGTTTGTTTGGCTGGTAATGTTGAAAGCAAGGCTGTGGTACAGGGTGTGTTGAGTAGGAACAAAATAGGGGAGACAAGGGATGACGTTACAAGTTTATGCCACTGAGTTCTAGTAATTCTGAAATAGTAGGCAGTGACACATTTCTTAAATTCTCCAACCAGCCAAATTCTAGAGAAGATGGGCCCTTCTCTTTCCTCAGCCCCTTCCTACTGTCTGGTCGTGGTCACAGACCACGTGGTCACAGTGACAGATCACTGCCAACAACACAAGACAGACTGAGGGAGAAAAGAGCAGAATGGGAGAGAGAAGGCTCCAGAAAAACTGTATCAACAAAAGCAAACTTCCCTGTGCAACAGTGTATAAAGAACAGGGGGTCTTCTGCCCTTCACTGATCCCTTGTGGGGTGGCTGATTTTTATGGCTGATTTCTGTACTTTACATAAAAAATATAATTATCAGAAATTAGCCCCTTCCTGGCTTCCCATTTTACTGGCCAAAGCTTTATATACCGTGAGGCTATTAAGTTCCATGGGCCCTTTATTCTCCCTGCCTGTCCCAAAGCCTTGTGCTGTCTGTCTCAGAGAAGGCCTCCTCACTATGCACACCTCATGTAACCTGAGCTACTCACAGAGGTGGAATTGGTTCATGACATTTCCCTGAGTATCTAGTAAGGGGAGGAAAAGAGATCACACTAAAGACAAATGGCACATTCCAGAAAGTGAAACACCACAAAAATCAGACCCAATCTTGATAAGAGAATGATGATCAAAAGTCACACAGTAATGAATTCACATTACTCAACAATGTTTAAGGCTTTCTTTTCTTCCTTTAAAAAATATAATTGATTTTATTTGCATATTTTAACACAGCTATGAGGAAACTAGGGAGGGTGCATTATAAAAATAATGAACGGTGGGGAAAGCACAAAAAAATTTAGAATTGTGATGGTGAGATCTGACAAGAGAAAAATAATGCATCATCTGATGACTATTCAAGCACAGGGGCTATGAGGAACTCACCAACAAATTCCATTCTATTCTAACAGAAAACTAACTACATTCTCCAAAACTTTACTCACAAGATAGAAAGGCTTGGTAATAGAAAATACACCACAGAAATCTATTAAAACCTAGGTCCTGGCTTCTAGAAAAATGGAGCAAGTGTACTTTTCACCATTCTTCCCTCTGAGCACAACTAAACACTATGAACATCATACATGAAGGGAACGTAAGACGACCCTGACAGGCAGAGAAGATGGACCGGTTAGGGATGACATGGCGCTAAGGCAGACCAGCTAGGGATGACATGGCACTAAGGCAGACCAGCTAGGGATGACATGGAGCTAAGGCAGACCGGCTAGGGATGACATGGTGCTAGGGCCCTTGGGTTTTCTCGTGCCTCGTCCATCCCAGGCTTGGAGTTGGAGAAACCAGCAACCTGGAAACACCAACAGGTGCCTGCTGTCCAGCTACAGGATCAGGAAAGGGGCAGCTGAGCAGGACAGAAAATTTTCAACAATAACCATTCTACTCCAGCGAGATACCACAGGACAAAAAGGCCACATGGAGAGCATGGAGTTCCACCTGTGGCAAGTGGTAACCAGGTTTCCCCAGCATTCCTCTGGGGGTTTCCAGGGAAAGTGGAGCAGAGAATCAGGAATTTCACCTTCCCTAGGGGGGAGCAAGCAAAGAAACAGAAGTCAAACAAAGAAACAAGACAAAAAAAGGACTAAATGGAAATTTTAGAACTGAAATTTAAAAACTCAATACACTGGCTCAATAGCACAATGGAATGGACAGAGAAATCAATGAACTGAACGAACAATAGAAATTATTCAATCTGAACAATAGAGAAAAAAATAGACTGAAAAAAAAAACAACAACACCTCAGACCCTCAGGGACCAGCAGGACTATAAAAAAGATCCAGCATTTGTGTCTGAAGTCCTAGAAGGAGAGGAGAAGGAGGGCAGGGCTGAAAAAATACTTGAAGAAATATGGATGAAAATTTACCAAATTTGTCAAAGGATGAACAAACACAGAGGTGCAAAAAGCCAGGGTGACCTAAAACAGGATAAAGACAAAGAAACCCAACCAAGACACATCAAAGTCAACATTCTGAAAACCAAAGGCAAAAGAAAAAGTCTCGAAAGCAGCAAGAGAAGAAACATGTATAGAAGAAAAGCAATTCGAAGACCACAGAGGCCAGAAGGGGCGCACGTTTTCAAATGCTGAAAGGAAAGAACAGTCAACTCAGAGTCCCATATTTGGCAATAACATTCCTCACTGAGGGAGAGATCAGGACATTCTCAGATAAAGAAGCAAGAGAATTTACTGCCAGCAGAATTGCCCTAGAAGAATGGCTACAGGAAGTTCTCTAAACAGAGATTAAACAACAAAATAAAAGAAGGAACCCAAACCATTGAGAAGGAACCAAGAACATGATGAACAAAGCAAACTGAATACATTTTAAAAACACAGGGGCGCCTGCATTGGCTCCGTCGGTTAAATGTCCAATTCTTGATTTCAGCTCAGGTCACGATCTCAGAGTCATGAGATGGAGCCCCCCAATAGGCTTCACACTCAGTACAGAGTCTCCCTTTCCCTCTGTCCCTCCCCACTGCCTCCATTCTCTCTCTCTCAAATAAATACATCTTAAAAACAAAAATAAAAATCTATAGACTATCCTTCTCTTGGGTTTTATAACTTATGTTTGATGATGGCAGCAAAAATGGTAACTCTGGATATAGTTATACTATATTGGATATAGTGCCAAATGCACAGACAGGAAATATTTAAGACAATTATACTACAAGCAGAGGAGGTAAAGGGACATAAAGCTAAGGTTACTACAGTTCAAACTAATAAAACGACAACACTAGTAAACTGTGTGTTATGTATATATAATGGAACCACTAAAAAGCCACACAAAAAGAGACATTAAAAAATTCTATAGAAAAAATCCAAAAAGAATTCTAAGAAATATTCAAATAATCCACAGGAAGAAGAAACAGAAAGCAGGGAGAAGAAACAGAAACCAAAAAATAAAATGGCAAACTTAAGTCCAAATATATAAATAATTCTATTGAATGTACATGGTCTAAATACACCAATTGAAAAAAAAAAAAAACCCCACAATGAGATCCTACCACACAGCCACCAGAATGTCTACAATGAAAAACAGTGATAATTCCAAATGGTCTCAGATGTTGCTGGTGGGTATGAAAAATGGTACGATCATCTTGGAAGAAACCTGAACATGCAATTACTGTGTGACCCAGGACGGCACTCCTGGGCATTTCCCGCCGAGAAATGAAGACTTCTGTTCACATGAAGGTTGACAGCGACTCTACGTCTAACACGAAAACTGGAAGGCAGCAGCTGTCCTCCAACGAGGGAGTGACTAACCATGGACCGTTTGGCCCGCAGCAAAGGAACGCTGACACGGAGGCAGCAGCCTGGATGGAGCCCCACTCCCACAGACCGCAGACGGCAGGGTCCCACTGACACTTTCTTGAAAGGACAAAACCACAGAAATGGAGACCCGAGTGGTGCTTGCCACAGGCTCAGGAGGGGTGGAGTGGGAGGGAAGGGCAACAGGAGGGGTCCTGCCACAACAGAGGTCTGCCGTACACTGAGTACGTCAGCGCCACTGCGCTGGTCGGCCATACCACTGTCCTACGGCAGGTCTACTAGATGGTACCACTGGGAAAACAGGGCATCTCTGTATCATCTCTGTATCATTTCTCACAACTGCACTCAATCAGAGTTACCGCAAAGTTAAAAGTTCAACAACAGAATATGGCTGCTGGACATCCTGCAAAGTAGGATTAACAGCCATCTAACTGCTGTGATGTAGCCATTCCCCTTTGGGAAGAAAAAGTTAAATCAAGTGACCATAGAAAGATATCCTAAGTGCTTTATAGTACTATGATTTCCTCATATCACAGATTGGCATACTGGGGAATACAGTGTTTATTATTATGTTTCTATATAAACAGTGTTTAAAAATAAGATAGGTTAAATTTAATCATAAAGGGTTAAATTTTTTTTTAAAGATTTTGTCAGAGAGAGAGAGGGAGAGAGCGAGCACAAGCAGGGGGAGCGTCAGGCAGAGGGAGAAGCAGACTCTCCACTGATCAGGGAGCCTGATGTGGGGCTCGATCCCAGGACCCTGAGATCATGACCTGAGCTGAAGGCAGACCCTTAACCAACTGAGCCCCCCAGGCATTCCCATTAAGGGTTAAATTTAATCATAATCATAAAGGTACTTTCCAATCACTGAGTGAAAAATGACTTATACCTGCTTCCATGCTACATATTTAAAATAAATAAAATTTTTAAAATTACATTGCCTATCAAAACTTACCTGCTCTTCTCTGTCTTAATTCTTCTAACATTCAATTTCCAAGTAACGAATGATTTATTAACTCTGAAAAGAAAAACATTTCTTATATTCCATATTCACAAATCATGTATTTATATAGAATACATTTAATAACATCTTAGGAATGCTAGATTCCCTAGAACATGTTCCATTCATAAATTTTACCTGAAGTACATAATAGATCATATCACTTCTCTCCCAAACTATCAACAGAACATAGAACAAGTCGTTGTAATTCTCACAGACACATAATTTAGTTACAATATCCCAATAAATATAAAAACTATAAAAAACATATTCTTCTCGGGGGTGCCTGGGGGGCTCAGTTGGTTAAGTGTCCAACTCTTGATTTTGGCTCAGGTCACGATCTTAGGGTCATGGGATCGAGCCCCATGTGGGGCTCCATGCTCAGCAGGGAGTCTGCTTGAGATTCTCTCTCTCCCTCTCCCACTGTCCCTCCTCCCTGCTCATATTCCTTAAAAAAAATAATAAAATAAATATTTTCTTCTCTCTATACATTTACTATCTTACTATTTTTAAAAGAGACTCATATTTCAAGAAGAGTCAAGATTGAATTTCCAGTGATGATGAAAAGGTACACTGATAAGAAATTTTTGTATACCAATATATTAAAAATTAAGCTAGTGTTTGTCATTTTGATATTCAATATTTATGTTTTTGGAAAGATGCATTTATAGTTTTAAAAACTCAAAGAACCTGTCTGAGAAGGAATTTAACGGTGATGCCTGTTGGCCAGAGGGAGATTCCTTACGCAGCAAGAGGAACTGGTGGGGCCAGGACTCCCCAAGAGGACAACCCACCCATCTCACTGGCTGACTGAGAATCACAGAAGCTGGAAGCAGCTCCAAAAGAACCCCGTGATGTCATGCAAACAGGCACACCTGAGACCTCAGAAATCAGAAATGCCTCCAATCTAGCACCCTGACTTTAAGTCAGGCTCCTAGGAGGCATTCCAGCTAAGTTACTATCTCACTTTTCTCCAGTCACGGAACCTCAGCATTCCAGAAGACCCCTGGAAAGAATCCCAGATGAATCCCCCCACTGAAGGCATGAGGAGTGTCCACATCGGGACACAGAAGCATGAGGCCACAGAAGCGACGCCTCCAGGCGGGCCCCCGAGGTTAAGAAGCTGGTGTTGCTGCTCAGGGTCACCCCTGCACAGCACACACCGCATGGCCAAGAGAAGCCACCCACGCTGCAGATTTACCTCATTTTCTGCTTGGAATGTTACTTGTTACAATGTTAGTCATAAAAAACTTCACAAAACATATTAAAAGTAAAATTCAAAAATCATATGAAGGGGACACCTGGGTGGCTCAGTCTGTGAAGCACCTGCCTTCAGCTCAGGTCATGATCCCAGGGTCTTGGGATCGAGCCTCGCATCGGGCTCCCTGCTCAGTGGGAAGACTGCTTCTCCCTCTCCCTCTGCTGCTCCCCCTGCTTGTGCTTTATCAAATAAAGAAAATCTTTTAAAAAAATAAAATAAAAATCAAATGAATTTATAAGTTTTAACCTGCCTAAACTTTAATTTATACTTTTCGTAACATGAATAAAGAAAATGAATCATTTTGACCACAGACTGACTGATGCCAAATGTCATATAAAAAGATGACTCATCCCAGTTCCAACTGTGTTTCGAAAGTATAATCAATTAAAATTATTCAGAGTGGAGTGGACCCCAAGGATTTATCACAGGCAAGGACAACAATGGAAAGTCCAACATTGACAGTTTAAATAAACAGACTCAGAGAATAGTACTTTCCATACTATCGTAAGCTGCCACCCGTTGGGCAGAGATGCAGCCATCACACACGTTCTTGAAGAGGACCTGCTCAGAAGTGTGTCTCCATGACCCACCTCCACTGGCACGTGACAGGTGCAGTCACAGGACCGGTGCCCTCGCCTCCCAAGCTCTCCAGAGCTTCAGCCGCACCATCTCTGCCCTTGAACACACACTGACCCGTATCTGCCTCAGGACTTTTCATCTTGCCATACCGACTGAAATTCTTCTCAACACTCAGACCTCGGATTACAGAGCACATCTCTGGCCATCCTATCTAAAGCAGCAACACATACACGTCTCTGCTTAACTTCTCCACTTTATTCTATTTCTGGCCCTTACACCTAGCTGAGATAATCATACTTACTTGTTATTGATGTCCCTGCATTAGAATGGAAGTTCTAGAGGAACACAGACCTCGTATATTTTTTACACGATTCCATCTGCAGTGCCCGTAAGAGGGGAACAGAAGAAGTACCAGCAAGTATCTGTTCTGTAAGTAACTTCTCTGCCACAAAATCATTCACTTCTCTTATAAAAACACTTCAACTCTTTGTCATATTAAATGTAACAATTTAAAATATTACCTCTCTCTTTTCCTAGCCTCCAGCAGATAGCAGCAGACCACAAGAAAACACAGACATGAGAAGATGAGTGCATTGGCGCTGTACAGGGACAGATGGCAGCCACCCTCGTGGGGAGCGCAGAACACCCAGAGATGCGGAAGTACTATGTTGTGCCCCCGGAACTAATGTAACATCATGTGGCAATGATACGCAAAGAAAAAAACTAGATACAAACACTGAAAGAACAAGGCTGGGACTCCTGGGTGAGGGGTCAGAGTCTCAGGAATCCTGGTGTCATGTCACGTCACGTCACTTATAACTAGATAAATTTTTAAATGATGACCTTGAATCAACAAGCTGCCCAGCTCCCTAATTCTGATTTTCCATTATAACATTCTTTTTCTACCTGATATTTTACATGTTTATATGTTTATTTCTCTCCCACTCTTGTTATTTGAGAGCAGGACATTTGTTTTGTTCAATAGAGTATCCCCAGCATCTAGAACAATGGTTCTTAGCAAACTCTCAATAAATATTTAATGAATAAATGCATGAAAAACAAAAGGCAAATTAAGAGTTAACACGATGTTACTGACTGTACGTTACATCCCCATGGTCTACTTTATGCCTAGAAGTCTTTACCTTCCGATTCTCTTCACTCACTTCATCCCCCTCCCAACACCTTTCCCCTCTGGCAACCCACAACTCGGTCCTCTGTGTCTTTGAGTGCAGGTTTTGTTTTGTTTTTTCGGTTCCACATATAAGTGAAGTGATGTGGTATCTGTCTTTCTCTGTCTTATCTCACTTAGCATAATACCTTTAGGGTCCCATCCATATGGACACAAACGGCATGATCTCAATTTTTTTTATGGCTGGGTACTACTCCATCGTATGTATACACCACATCTTCTTCGTCCATTCATCTGTCAATGAACACTGTGGTTGTTTCTTTACCTTATGGCTGCATATACCTTTTCAAATTAGTCTTTCTGTTTTCTCTGAATAGATATCCAGAAGTGGAATTGCTGGATCATATGGTAGTTCTAATTCTAATATTTTCAGCAATCTCCATACTGTTTTCCATAGTGGCCACACCAATTTACATTCCCATAAACAGTGCACTAGGGTCCCTTTTCTCCACATCCTCATCAAATCTTAATAGTCATTCTGATAGGAAGTAAAATCTTACTGTGGTTTTGATCTGCATTTCCCTGATGATTAGTGATGTTAAGCATCTTTTCATGTGTCTGTTGGCCACCATATTTAGGTCCTGGAAAAATATCTATTCAGATTCTCTGCCCATTTTCTTTTTTTGAAGATTTATTTATTTTAGAGAGCGAGCGAGCGAGAGCACAGGTGGGAGGGGCAGAGGAAGAGGGAGAATCTCAAGCAGACTCCCCACTGAGCATGGAGCCCAATGTGGGGCTTGATCCCAGGACCCTGAGATCATGACCTGAACTGAAATGAAGAGCCGGACACACAACTGACTGAGCCACCCACCGCCCCTTCTGCCCATTTTTAATCGGATTATTTTTTTCATCAAGTTGGATGAATTCCTTATATTTTTCTGGATATCAACTCATTATATATATGATTTGCAAATAACTCATCCCAGTCAGTAGTTTGCCTTTTCATTCTACTGATGGGTTTCCTTCACTGTTCAGCAGCTTTTCAGTTAGACGCCGTTCCATTGGCTTATTTTTCCTTTTCCCGCCTTTGCCTTTAAGTCAGATGCAAGAAAATGTCGCCAACGTCAAGGAGTTTATGACCTACTTCTCTTCTGGGTGTTTTATGGTTTCAGGTCTTACATTCAAGTCTTTAACCTATTTTGAGTTTATTTTTGTGTATGGTATAAGAAAGTGGTACAGTTTCATTCTTTTGCATGGTGCTGTCCAGTTTTCCCAACACCATGTATTGAAGAGTCTTTTTCCCATTGCATATTTTTACCTCCTTTGTCATTAATTAACCATATAATCGTGGGTTTATTTCTGGGCTCTCTATTCCGATCCATTGATCTATGTGTCTATTTTTGTGCCAGTACCATACTGTTTGATTACTACAGCTTTGTAACGTATCTTAAAATCTGAAATTGCAATACCTACAGCTTTGTTCTTCTATGTATAGTATATAATTTCATCTTTAAAAACCAGTTTTACTTCTTCCTTTGCCAAATTTGGTAAGAAATGGATAAATTCCTAGAAACATACAAACTACCAAGACTGAATCATGAAGAAATAGAAAATCTGAATAGGCCAATTGCTAGTAATGATATTGAATCAGTAATCCAAAACTTCCCAACAAATTCTAGGACCTGTTGGCTTCATTGGTGAATTCTACTAAACAGAATATTTAATACCTATTATTCTCAAACTCTTCCAAAAAAAAAAAAAAAAAAGGAAGAGGAAGGAATGCTTCCAAAGTCTAGGTATTTTTTTTTATTTCTTCTCTGCTTTCTTCAATGACCCCTTTGTTATTCAGAAGCATGTTGCTTAAGCTCGTTTTTGTGGTTTTCCCAGTTTTCTTCTTATAATTGATTTCTAGTTTCATACCATTGTGGTTGAAAAAGATGCTTGATATGATTTCAATCTTGTTAAATTTATTGAGACTTTTTTGTGGCCTAACATTTTATCCTGGAGAGAGAAGAAATGTATTCTGCTGCTTTGGAATTAAGTCCATCTGGTCTAATGTGTCATGTAAGGCCAATGTTTCCTTATTGATTTCCTGCATGGATGATCTAATAATTGACATGGGTGGGGTGTTAAAGTTCCCCTCCTATTATTGTATCACACTGTCTCTTTCTCCCTTTAGGTCTGTTGGTATTTCCTTTACACATATTGGTGCTATGCTGGGTGCATATACATTTATAAATGTTATATCCTCTTGCTGGATTGACCCCTTTATCATTATGTAATGCCTTACCTTGTTTTCTGTAAGTATTGAAGTCTATTTTGTATGAATACAGCTACAACAGCCTTCTTTTCATTTCCATAAAGTATCTTTCTCCATATCTTCACTTTTAGTCTGTGTGCCTTTACTTCTGAAATGAGTCTTTTTTTTTTTTAAAGATTTTATTTATTTATTTGACAGAGAGAGACACAGTGAGAGAGGGAACACAAGCAGGGGCAGAGGGAGAAGGAGAAGCAGGCTTCCCGCTGAGCAGGGAGCCCAATGAGGGGCTCGATCCCAGGCCTCTGGGACCATGACCTGGGCCGAAGGCAGATGCTTAATGACTGAGCCACCCAGGCGCCCCAAAAGTGAGTCTCTTGATGGCAGCATATACATAAGTCTTTTTTTAAAGTCCATTCAGTCATTCTACATCTTTTGATTGGAGAATTTAGTCCATTTACATTTAATTTTTGAGGGCAACTCCTTTTGGGTCCTCTCCCCTCCTTGGGAGCTTTGTACTATCACTTTGTTATCCCTTGATAAACCTTGCTTTGCTGCTCACCAAAAAGAAAAAAAAAATTTGGGGTAGGTATGAACTTTTTGCCCTTTTGTGAATCATTTTCTAGCTGTTTTTATAGTTTCTCTCTGTTCCTTTATTCTTCCTTTCTCTCTTTCCTTGATGTCTTTTAACTTTCTTTAGTGTTGAGATTCCTTTCTCATTCGTTTTCTATTACGTATCCAGTGTAAGCTTTTGTTTTATGGTTATCGTGAGGTTCATATATAACATCCTACATATACAGTGGTGTTATTTTAGGTTCATAGCGACTTAAATTTGAATACATTCCAAAACTCTACATTTTTATCCCCCTCTCCTGTGTTTGTTTTTGATGTCACATTTTACAACTTTTTATGTATTCCTTAACTAATTATTGTATTTTTAATTTTACTATATTGGTCTTTTGATCTTTGTATTAGCTTTATAAATGATTAATTCACATCCTTTACTATATATTTGCCTTTTCCAGTGACATTTTCACTTTCTCGTTTTCTCATCATTAATTAGTACCATTTCTTTTCAGCTTAAAGAAGTACCTTTAGAATTTCTTGTAAGGCTAGTTTAGTGATAATGAAGTCCTTTACTTTTGCTATATGAAAACTCTTCATCTCCTTCAATTATGATTTATAACCTTGCTGGGTAGAGTATTCCTGGTCACAATTTTTTTTTCATTTAGTACTTTGAATATGTTCTGCTGCTACCTTCTGCCTTGCAAAGTTTCTACTGAGAAATCTGCTGATAGCCTATGGGTTTATCTTGTATATAACAACTTATTTCTCTCTTGCTGCTTTTAAGATTCTCTATCTTTAACTTTTGACATTTTAATTACATTTTGGTGTGAATCTCTTTGGGTTCTTCTTATTTGGCATTCCCTGGGCTTCCTGGATATGGATGTCTGTTTCCTTCCCCAGGTTAAGGAAATTTTCAGCCATTATTTCTTCAAATATGTTTTTCTGTCCCTGCTTCCCCCTCTTCCTCTTCTGGGACTCCGATAAAGAGAATGTTACTCCACCTGAAATTGTCCCAGAGCTCACTTATGTTATCTTCACTTTTTACAAATCTCTTCTCTTTTTTGCTGCTCTGTCTGGGTGAGTTCCACTGCTTTGTCCTCTAGCTCACAGTCTAACCGCTCTTCTGATTCGTCCAGTCTGCTGTTGAACCCCTTTAGTGTATTTCTCAATTAATTTATTCTACTTCAGCTCTGAGACTTCCATTTGGTATTTTCTAGCTCTTTGCTGAAGTTTTACTGTGTTCATCCATTCCTCTCCCAAGTTTGGTAAGCATCTTTCTGACCATTACTTTGAACTATTTATCGGGTAATTTACTTATTGCCATTTCATTAAGGTCTTTTTCTAAGGTTTGTCTTGTTCTTTCATTTAAAGATATTCCTCTGTCTCATTCTGTCTGATTTTCTGTGTGTGATTTTTTTTGTCCCCTACATATTAGGCGAAACAGCTACCTTTGCCAAACTTGAAGCAGCCGTATGTAGGTGACCTGTGAGGCTGAGAAGCACAGTCCCCTCTGGTCACTGGTGCCAGGTGCTCAAGTGGAGTCCCAAGTGTGGGCTACACATACCTGCTGGCTGTGGCACTGGAGGGGCATGGCATTCACCTGGCAAGCTGGGGTGCAGTTATGGCTAGGAATGGATGGGATGCTTGCCCAGATGGCTGTGGTGCACCTGTGGTATGGGGGGGTGGGTAGGGTGTGCCCAGCTTACAGGAAGATTGCCAAAACAGTGACTGCCAACACTGGCCTTAGCAAAGCCGAATGGGATTGCAGAAATGGCACTTGCCAGCACTTCTGTCCCAGAAAGAGTTCCAAAAAGTTCCCGCCTCTCTGGCATTCACTTAAGAATAATAAGTGGGTCTCCTTTACATGTGGCCTAGACGCTTTTCAAGGTGCAGCTTTTGCTCTGGGTCCCAGGGTGAGTTGAGTGTGCATGCAAACCCTTTATGAGCAGGTTCTCCGTTCCCTAGGTTCTGGGGTTTTCCTGGACATCATTCCCAATTTTTTCCATTTTGGTGGCTCATCTCTTTGGAGCAGAACCCAAGGACTGGGGTGCCTGATGTGGGCAACATTCCTCACTCCTCAGTTTCCACATTTTTGAGATCCTTCCTGTTTGCGGGTTGCTACACTGGGGGTGGGTTTTTGATGACAGCAGGTCTCTGTCTCTCCTACCGATCTCCAGGCTGCCTTTATCCTCTGTTGTGGAGGTACTGCCCATCGAGTTTTCAGAACTCTTCCAGAGGAAATTATTCCACATACAGCTGTAGGTCTGTTGTGTCTGTGGGAGGTAGTGAGTTCAGGATCTTCCTACACCTCTATTGTGTCTGAAAAACTTTTATGGAATACCCCATTCTCTCTAACATTCCCCATAAAGATGGCATAATGTAGTAGAACCCACACATCAACCAGGCAGTTGCTATTTCAACAGGACCATACTACAAATAATTGGTTTCATTTTCTTTCATCTCACCGAAAATTGGAAAATATCTTGAATTGCTGTAATAAATAGTAACATGTTCTTTCTAAAAGCCATTCCAAAGTAGGTATGAGTTCTATTTCTTCTACACCACCTATTTTAGTAACCTGCAAACATAAAGCACAAAACCATGATTTCCTTAAAAAAATATGCACTATTTTCAAGAAATTAAGAAAGCCTGTGTTTGCCTCATAACTACTTGCTTTTATAATTCAGCTTGTCTATATATGACCTCCACCACTTCATCTATACCCAAACCTGATTTCCCTTCCCACACTGCTTCTATACTTGCCATTTTTCTAAAGCTATTTCTCATGCTCCAATAGAGAAAGAACAAGAGAAACTTCTTCCTCACCCTTACTTTTCACAAATATCTGTTCATTTTTTCAGTCTCATAATCTGCAATTTTCTTTAAAAGTAATATTTATGAGCTCAATTTTAACTACAGGGATGTAGTAGTTCCAAAGGGACCAATAATCCCATTACCAAGATACCCTATTTTGACATCCAAGAACCACAGGCCTTTCATCAAGAATTCCCTTCCCCAGAGTTGCTCTTCCCCATCTGAATGTTAACATTTTTAAAAACTTTTTCTGGAAATAAAAGTATGCCTATATCAGCACATATGTACCTATGTGCATAGAAATTGTTCCTCCCATTTTCAGCTGATAATACACATCAGGGATATCTCCACATCTACACCTACAGATCTGCTTCATTCAGATATGGCCCTGCCCACGTGTGCTTACAGTGTAGTTGGGAGGCTGGGAGAGTAGGGGGAAGCAGACAGACACTAAGAAAATGATCAAAACAAGTAACTCTATGATTACAACTTGCGGTAAGTATCAGAGCGCTATGTAAGAGTGTAATGGGGGTTTCTACATCTGGCGATGAAGTTTCTGACAAACCTGAGGAAATACTTTTTTCTTTTACTATTGTAATTCCTATTATGTCAACAAATCCCTGTAGTCTAGTTTCCTTTAAAAAAACTATACTTAATAAATTATTTGAGATGAAAAATATTATAAAAATTGAATCCTTAAGCCTATCTCTCTACAGAAAAGAAAAAAACTTGCTGTTAAGTAACTTTCTCCCAAAGAGGATCTTAACCATAAACTATCCCTCAAATGACCAGGTTTATCTGAAACATACAAAGATAATCTAAATTAGATAATATTTTTCCATTATGATTCTAAAAGCTGAAAACACCCATTCTATATTACCTTTGAGATAAATGATGCAGTAATAATCCAAAATTCTTTGCAGTGTCTAGCTCTGTGGGCAGAGACCACCTGAAGGTCATACGGATTATAGAGAACTTGATGATTTTTCCGAGGAAGGCAATATACAAATTCTCCATCATCTGTTAAAGGTTCCTGAGGTTAAAAAAATTTTAATTAACTTGACCAGATTAAGTAATAAAATGGCTGAACAACAGATTACTCAGTAAATTGAAACAATTTTAGATTAAAATTAAGAGTAATATCACTGAAGAAAGCTAACATCAAATTGTGTCAAATTCAACAAGATCAGTCTTATGAAAGATTTAAAATATGTAATTTTCGTTCTTTAATGTGGTAAAACATTCATGAAAATTCATCTATATGCTGCCTAATGTATGCTTATTCACACAAAGAACATGGCAACATATCTTTAACACACATGTCCCACTTTCAGTAAATTTGTCTGCCAATACCAGCTTTTGGAGCATGTTAATCATTTATTTTGATAATGATGGTAGCTTAGTATTATAATAATAACTAATATTTGTGAAGTAAATAATATTTAATAAGTAACAAGTGTTTCATATACATTATACACAAGAATTTAATCTCTTAAATTTAATCTTTTAAATTATCTGCAGGGATGATGATCTTTTTAAGCTCATTAAGCAGATGCAGAAATGAATATTTTGAGAAATTAGGTAATTTGGGAAAAGTCACAAAGACAGGAAGGGGCAAGTTGAGATGTGAATACAAGTCTGACTAAACCCATGCTCTGAGACACTGCAATATACTATAACACCTCTTTCTTATTTACCTGGCATTACTGAGAAATCAGCCACTTCATATTAAGAAAAAATTTTAAGTGAAATTTATTTCTTTTACTTTGAGACTTTCTAAGTACTGGAATTTAAAATTTCAGATCCAGGGGCGCCCAGGTGGCTCAGATGGTTAAGCATCTGCCTTTGGCTCAGGTCATGATCCCAGGGTCATGGGATCGAGCCCCACCTCAGGCTCCTGGCTCGGCGGGGAGCCTGCTTCTCCCTCTGCCTCTCTCCCGGCTCATGCTTTCTCTCTGTATCTCTGTGTCTCAAACGAATAAAATCTTTAAAAAATAAAAAATTAAAAAATAAAATAAAATTTCAAATCCAGTTTTACTTCTTAAAAAAGTTTTTGTCCTCATTGAAGACTTACTGTTTCTCCCTAATCGTCCCAAGTTCTCACTGTCTTGTTTATTATTATTATTTTTTAAGATTTATTTATTTGAGAGAGAGAGAGTGTGTGTTGGGGGGGAGCAGAGGGAGAGGCTGAAAATCTCAAGCAGACTCCCTGAGATCATGACGTGAGCCAAAACCAAGAGTCAGATGCTCAACCAACTGTACCACCGAGGCGCCCCTCACTGTCTTATTCTGACCTCTGATAGGATACGCACCTGGAAACCTTAAGAAACAAGTTTAGAAACTGCAAGTAAAATGAAATAAATAAGCTCCAGGTGATGATTTGTATAGTACGTGGCTTGGTTACAGTTATGTGGCCACTTGAGGCATTTTTGTTCTATGTTCCCGAAAGTTGAGGATACTAGTAACTTAATGTAGACACCATTATCCAAATGGGTCATGTATGTAATTAGATCACCCACTTATGAGAAGCATAATACATTCCAATTAAATTATTGTTTTTGAATTAAAAGCAAGTATTTTTTCAAATTCTCAATCCTTTCTTTACAAACAAATGAAACCTCCCTTATCAGTGAGTCCAAGGACATCTGGCTCTTGCACAGCTATGTTTTCTAAACTACCATGCCCATTATGTGCCAGACATCATGCCACCTGCATTCCTCATTTAATTTTCACGACTCTCTAAGGTTAAGTACTATTATTTCCATTTCAAGCTCAAAGAAGCTGAAGCTCAGAGAGGTCAGGAACTTGCCCAAAACCACACAGTGAGCATATAGAGATTCAAAGCTGGGTGACTCTGCTTCCATTATGCATGGTACTCTGCTTTACATTAATACTGCCTCTGACAATGGTCCCAGGACCATTTATCCTCCTGGTAACAGGTTAGAGCAGGGGTCTGCAAACTCTGGCCAGGACTCTGTAAAGTTTCACTGGAACACAGCCACACCCATTTGCTTATGTCTGTTGCTGCTTCTGCACTACAGTGACAGGCCTGAGTAATTACAACAGAGATCAGAGAGCCTGCAAAGCCTAGAACATTTATTATCTGACACTTTTCAGAAAAAATTAGCTGGCCCCTGGTCTAGAACAACAGTTCTCAATTGTGCATCAGAATCACCTGGAGAGCTTCATAAAGTACAGATCACTGGGCCCCACTCCCACAGTTTCTGATTCAGAAGGTCTGGGGTAGAGATGAGACTATGCATGGCTAATAAGCTCCAAGGTGATGCTGATGTGACTGCCTGGGAATTGAGAATCCTGGGTCTAAAAGTAGTTAGAGATGATCCTGAGCAATCTTCCATCTCTTGTAATGAAGAGGGACACAGGAGGCAGACCTTACTTCTCATCGCTGCTTGCACCCTCTGGTCATGTGACCCTGCACATGCTAAAACTTCTCCGAAGAAGAAAGGATGAGGAAATACAAAGATAATGCAATAGAGAATTGGGTACCAGGAAGTAAGAGCGAGGATCCAATGTTACAGAAGTACATTAGCATTTCTTTTTAACTCACAAAAAAAAACCCTGATGAACAGGAATAGGAGAGTACGTTCAGATTTCAGGCATTTATCTTTATCTGCTCTCCGTCCCTGAAATAAGACAAGTGAAATGACGCCCAACACTGTCACAAGCATTCACGATGAAACGATGATTGTAAGTCAGTATTGATGTAATAATGTCGAATTTTAATATGTGAAGTGAATGAAATTAAGATTAAGGTACAGTTTTAAATATTAACCTTTATAGTACAAAACTGGATAAAACAGACTAATACCTTTAGAATAATCTTCTGAATTGCAATTTTGGAACTTTTATACTCCAAACAGTGCTGTGGTAACATCGTTTGCCAACCAAACTTCTCTCTTAGCCTTATAATATGTCTTGTCACATCGTCATCCTCTGGTTCTGGTTTAGAACGTTAAAAAAAAGATCTAATGTAAGTGTGAGTATAGGCATCACTTAAGGGTAATGTATAATATCCAAATATTTCTACATAGAGAAAAAATTTAAATGGAAACTTATACTTTAAGTTTGCACAAAGACTATATAATTAGACGAGAAAGTATAGCTTAAAATTTAATTTTAACAGAAGCTGGAAAAAAGGAATAATATTTTTTCCATTTAAAAAAGATATTTCAAAAGACCTAATTCCACAGCTACACAGGTAGCTGGCATGAGAAGACTCTCGAACAGGAGCCAGTTAGAAGGCTTTTCTTAAGAAAAGCCTAAGATGGGGTGGAAGCAGTAGGATCAGGAAAGAAGTGATGACCATGCAAGGTAGAAATATTCTTCCTAAAGATTCTCATGCAATAGACTCTTCCCTCCCTCCTAGCCTCCCTCCCTCCTTCCTTCCTTTCTCCCTTCCAAGTAGGCTCCACACCCAGCTTGGAGCCCAGGGCGGGGCTTGAACTCACAACCCTGAGATCGAGACCTGAGCTGAGATCAAGAGTTGGACGCTTTACTGAGTGAGCCACCTAGGTGCCCCTGAGACCTTCTTTCTTGATCTCTTAGTAGCTAATGATTATCTCCTTCTTGAAACATTCCCTTTTCTTGGCTTTTATTCATCATGCTCTACAGTTTGTCCTCTTAGCCCTTCTGCTTTTCTTGATAAAACAAATCATGGGAAGAGAAGCAACCCAGAAACCCTGCTGGCAAAACCAGCAATGCTATGAAGTTGTTCAAGATTTCTGGTTCTCTAGAAATCATAAATACCAACTGATCAAAACAGCTTCTTAACTCAGGACTAAATAGGATGTGAACTGTTGTATAAAACAACGTCAGGACCAGGATATGGTCCTACACAACCCTAAGAGTAAATTCTTCTTCTAACCTTGTGCCCTAGGCACCTCACCTCTCTCACCCTAGTCTGGGCCCTCTCAGTTGCTTAAACAGGAGAGAAGTTTAAAATACGTAATTGAGAAGAAAGCTAGTTAGTATTAGGTATAGAAGAGAGAAGGGGAGGGGCTGACACTAGCGTAAGGGACGGCACAAGATGTTTACGTCCAGCTGAGCGGTAAGCCATACACACTAGGCTGTAACAACGCACACCTATCAAAATCACCTTCCTATGCTGACAGCTTAGGAAAACAGATCAGCAAAACCAATTAGAGACCAGAGATAGGACCACTTACACAAGACAATCTAGTAAGTGAAAAAAGGTTATTTCAAATCAGGAGAGCAATCATTAACTTCATAAATCATAATGGGAAAGTGGTTAGACATTTAGAAAACTGTGCAGTTATATGCAAGCATAAATTATAGAAGGATTATAGAAGTAAATGTGGAAAAGGAAATTACAGAAATATTAGAAGAAAATATATGTTCCTGAAAAAGAATCAAAGCATGTTAAAAAAAATAATAATAAATTTGACTTCTTCAAACTTGGCAATTTATACAGCAGAAAAGCCACCGTACCTACACAAGAAGCTAGGGATTAACATATCAAATATTTAAGGAGTTCTTCCCAATAAGAAATAAACATTTTGATAGAATGGTGAATGATTTATTGGAAAAGACAAATGGCCAGTAAACATACCAAAAAATATTCAACCCCATTAGTAATCAGAAAATAATAAATTAAAATTACAATGAAACGAAAAAGCCATTCTCACCCACCAGACTTGCAAAAAATTAAGTTAGAAAATATCAACTGCTGACCACGGTATTCCTCTCATGCAATATTGCAAAAGCATAAATTAACACATCCATTCTTGGTGGCAACCCGGCAGATTTAATGAACTGATAGAGACCATTGGAGAATGGAAGCGATTTAGGACAAATTTAAAATAACGATTTTTCAGAATAAGTAGTAAACTTAAAGAAAATATGTATCCTCCAAAATGCTGGGGGGAAATTTTTCTAAAAAGCCAGATTAATTCAGAAAATCATAGATAGGGATGCCTGGGTGGCTCAGTCATTTAAGCATCTGCCTTCAGCTCAGGTCGCAATCCCAGGGTCGTGAGGTCAGTCCTTGCTCAGCAGGGAGCCTACTTCTCCCTCTGCCTCTGCTGCTCCCCCCGTTTGTGTTCTGACAAATAAATAAATCTTAAAAAAAAGGAAGAAAGAAAGAAAATCATGGCTATTTACTAAAATGAGACAATCCATTATACACCTAGCATGGCAGGGTGAAGCACTGTCCTAGCATGCTGGGTGTATGGTATGATCCAAGATGGCAATTCTTTATATCAGAACTATGAGGAGACTAGCTTGTATTCCACTTTCACAGTGAGTCAAGAATACAGGTACCAGAAGTTAAGGTCAGGAAATTGCAACTTTCAAGAGGAAAAAACCATGGAAAAAAAAAGAGAGAGGGAGAAAGGCGTAACACAACCGTTCTGTTAGAGACACAATAAAACCTCATCAGTGAGCGCTGGGCTGAGCTTCTAGTGCCCTCACCTTCTAATCTTATAGCCTCGAAGAAGCACTATCACTGGACAGAACCTTCAACAGGAGTAACAGTGAAGACAGTGCTTAATGAAGAGTTCCGGCATTTAAGGGTAAAATCACATATCTTTAGAATGAAAATAAAACTGTTCATTTAAGAAGTTTAAGACAGGCCCTTGGGTGGCTCAGGCGGTTAAGCATCTGACTAGCGATTTCAGCTCAGGTCATGATCTCAGGGTCATGAGATCAAGCCCACATCAGGTTCTGCACTGGGCATGGAGTCTGTGTGGGATTCTCTCTCTCCCTCTCTCAAAAAAAAAAAAAAGTTTAAAACAACTTCTGCTGCCTTGGAATTTAGAATATAAGTAATGATATTATTCCACCATGTGAATGTGTCCTCATAATGAAAGATAACATACAGAAACTGTCAAATGAGCCATACTGCTAGTAAGTACTGTGTTAACTCCAAGGAGAGGATCACGGCAGACGAGGGACCTCACTGAGAGCTTTACAGAAGTCTCATAAAAATGGATCTTGACATAAGGCTTGAGAGAGGCAAAAAGAGAAAAGAGGACATTCTAGACAAAAAGTCATCTTAAAAGAGAGAATAAATTCCAAAAGCACACATCAACATGAGTGATCTCAAAAGGACAGGTTACAAAAGGACACAATAAAACATCACGTATGTGCATATTTTAAAGCTCTTACTGAAGTATAACATACACACAGAAAAGTACACATATCATTCATAGACATACAGCTTGATGCATTTTCAGACATTAATATACCCTGGAACCAGCACTGGAACAATCAAGAAAAAAGCATCACTAGGCCTCCTGAAGTCTGCCTTGAAACCCTGCCCAGTTCCTATTCCCACTTCAGCCCATGCCCACAGAAGTCACAACTATCCTGCTTTCTAAGAGTAGAGGCCAATTTTTCCTGGTGTTTACTTTCTATAAGTAGAATCACACCGCATATATTCTTCTCTATCTTGCTTATTCTGGTCAATATGGCGTGTGTGCTTCTGTATACACAAAATAATGCCATACGTTTTATGGATGCATTAGGTATCTATTGATGTGTTAGCAACTGTCCTAAAATGTAGAGGTTTAAAACAAGTATTTATTATCTCACCGTTTCTATGGGTCAGGAGTTCAGTTTCCCATGAGGCTGCAAGCAAAATGCTGAAGGCTTTCCTGGGGCTGGAGGACCCCTTCCCCGGTCAGCTCCCTCATGTGGCGATGAGCAGGAGGTCTCTTTCTCCAGTGGACCTCTCTGCAGGGCCTTTTGTAAGGACACCGGCGGCCCCCAGAGAGCGCGCAGGAGACAGGATCTCTATGTCTGTCCTGACTTAGTCCTGGAGGGCACAGAGCATCACTCCACCATGTTCTACTCTGTACAATTGTAAACTGTCACGTCCACTGTATTATTGATTAGAACTGAATCACTAAATCAGGCCTTCATTTAAAGGGACAGGAGCAAGGCTTCGGGACTTTAGAAGGAAGGAGTGTCAAAACCTATGTGACAAATTTTTAAACTCCTGCAATGGACAAATGTAAATGTAGAAAATACATAAAAGCATCCATGGAAAGGACAGTTACCCATGTGAGTGTGACCGTCAGCTGGCCCAATGGAACTGAGGACAGTGGCGGAAAGGGGAGGGCCTTGAGCTACTTGTTCACGACTTTACTTCCGTACTTGCTTTCTACTGCCGTATAACAAATTACCGCAAACTGGGGGTTTATTGACCCCCCAATTTCCAGGAGTTGGGTATCTAGCAAATTTTAGCTGGTCCTCTGCTCGGGGTCTCACAGGGCTGACATGAATGTGTTGGCTGACGATGCCCTCATCTGGAGACATGGCTAGGGAAAGAACTGCCTCCAAGCTCCCCTGGGTTGTTGGCAGAAGGCATTTCTTGGGGGCTGCATGCCTGGCTAACAGTTGACCAGGCACTACTGTCGACCACGAGAGTCTGCTTTGGGGTCCTTGCCCTAGGGCCCTCTCCACAGCATGGCAGTCTGCCCCTTCAAAGGCAGCAGCATGGCATCTACTACTGCTCTGGTCTCTTTTAAAGCCTCATCAGATTAGGGCAGGCTCACCCAGGAAAATCTCCTTTTACATCCCTATTGCATCTCAAAAATGCCACATAGACTGACCTAGTCCTAGGAGCAAAGCTCCATCAAAATCACAGCTGCTGTCTGCACTTGCCGGGAGGGGAGTAGATAAGGCATGCAGGTTTTGTGCCATTGGAGGCATTTATAATAATGAAGATCTTTTTTAAAAACATGAAGCCTATTTAGGTTTCAATAGCTTTATGACTAATCGGCCTCGGACCACAGTGTATCAGTGAAACACAGAAAAGTTTCCCTTCTCCTGTCAAACTTAAGATATTAATACAAATAAGAATTTCAGGTATAGAGAAAGTACAAACTGGAAAACGTGAGTGAGGAAAATCAATTTAAATGAATTATTTATTTGGGAATTTAAACTCTGTGTCAGACAAAGACAGGAGTTATATATGGTATAGATATAATATATCTATATTATAAATAGATATAATGTGGTATCATGTCATTAAATATAATGATACCACAAAGTTTTACTAAAAGGATAAAACAAAGCCATACAACTGTATTTACAATTCTATAACCATAACCTTCAGAGATTGTTCCTGCTTAAGAACATAGTCAGGGTACAGACTCTGCCAATTTTTCAGTCTACTGATATTTTAGATTTTCAAAAAGATTTTTAAAAACAGTTCTTTAAGCAACCAAACACATAAAATTCAGTAAGACTGTTTCTTCTAGTCAAATACATAAAACCACAAAATTACCCGAAAAAAATGTCATGTCTTCTGAACAGGCTAGGTTGGTGATACTACGCACCTGTTGTATCATATGACACAAGCCTTTTTTTCTTAACCTTTGGACAAGTGTGAGTTTGATCCTTTTTTCTCTTTGATTTGTCTTTCTTCTTATGAGAATTCGGTTTTGAAGGATCTTGCTGAGTTCCAATTTTTTGGAAGTAATCTGAAAAGAAAAGCATTATTAACTGAGTAACCAGCAAGAGCTATAAATAATACCATGGCAATTCCACATGCCAGGCCATACGGTGGATCAGGATACAATTTCAGTTTTTAAGAGCACAGGCTGAGAGTCAGACCGCCTATATTCCAAGCAGTTAGAAGCTTTGCTGCTCAGTGCTGTGATTTACTTTGTAAGTAACCCATCAGCCTTTCTTTACCCTGCTGTGAAACGAGGACTGTTACAGTGAGAACCTCATAGAGTGTTACAAGGATGTTTAAAGCATGCAGTAGGGGATGCCTGGTGACTCAGTCGGTTAAGCGTCTGCCTTCGGCTCAGGTCATGATCTCAGGGTCCTGGGATCGAGCCCCACATCAGGCTCCCTGCTCATCGGGCAGTCTGCTTCTCCCTCTCCCTCCGCCCCCTGCTCGTGCTCTCTCTCTCTCTCTCTCTCAAACGAATAAATAAAATCTTTTTTTAAAAAAGCACACAGTAAGTGCTTACAAAGATAAATATTATTTTTATCATAATAAATCTTTAAAATGTGAAAAACATAACAAAACTTTTTATTACTATAGTTTGATAACTGAGGTCAGAAAAAATGCATAGAAATGCAGAAAAGTCACATACAGCCTATTTCTCAGATTCCTTCTATGACTTACCTGATTGGTGGATTCTCAGCATGAAGAATGGGGAAATTATTGAAAATGCAGTTTTTCAAAAGCAAATAATTTAACACTTTCTCATTGATTTAAGGAAGATTTATGTAACATACAGCACTGAGCTATAATTAAGTAGGGGGTAAGACACAATAATTACAAACAAAACAAGTACAGGCAAAACAGCCAGTAAGTTCTATTTCAGCCAATCATCATAACTGAGAGGAGACACAGAGGGGTAGAGAGAGAGAACATGTCCCTATTTGTATAATCAGAGACCACACGCCCATCTTGCTCCATGGAATCAAACAGTGAATGATGGTACGGTTTTTACTTGCGGGTGTGGGACGCAGAAAGGTAAGAAAACGAAGTCTTGTTCAGGAGACCGCATGACAAAATATGGGCTCTGGTGGAAAGTATGTGAGAGAACCGTGCAAACCTTCCTTTCTCCCTGACGGCTACTCCAAGAGCTTCTCCCGCTCACTCCCATGCCTGAATGGGAGCCTGGTGACTTCCCAGACCTCACAGCAGGCGTTGTTGATAAGCCAGCACCCCAAATGCCTCGAGATCCGAAAGTGGGCTTGTTTCCCTCCCTGTTTCCGTTCACCACTTCCAAATCCTTACAACTTGCCCTCTCAAAAAAAAAAACAACAAAAAACCACTCCCCCAGAGTTCATGCCTTCCCACCACCTCAGACCCTTCCAGGCTTCACCGGCTTCTGCCCCCAGCATGGCCGCTCAGTGACTGGAGCCCTGGCTCAGGGAGGGCCTACCGTCCCGGGATTAAACCCCCATCATTCTGGTGGCTGACACCACACCCCGCCCCACTCTCTAAACACCCTCTCCTCTCTAGTCCGCGTCAGCCAACCTCTCCCAGCCTGCTCGGAACTCCCGACCTCACCACTTTTCTCGACCTCATCAGCACCTCCAGTTCACGACCCCATGACTTACTACCCATCATACCTCTGCTGCTTTTCATCTTGCTCTTGACCCCGCTGAAATTACGTTATCTTTCAACAACACACTTGCCAGTAGCCTCAATGCTCACCCTTGACCTCATCTCCAAGGCAGAACAGCGGCCCTGGAAGAAGCCAACTCTATGTTCAGTGTGCCTATGTCTGCACAGCTCTGTGCTGTTACACGAAAGCCCAAACACGAGTGGACTGGAAACTTCCGAAACCCACGTTAATGAATAACAAATGGCCCCTGAACACTCACCTGAAATCCTACTGTTGGCCTGGCTCACTTGCCTGTCTGGCTTTGCAGCAGCTAGCTCAGATGCCCCTCAAAGCCCTGCACCTTCACCTTCCAATCGCTCTCCTTCAACGGATCTCCGTGCCTACTTCCCAGGGCACACAGATGCACCAGATGGGAATTCCTTCAACGTGCCTGTGCTAAGTAAGCCAACGAACCCACCCCGGCACCGTCCTTTCCTCCTGCCCCTCTGACTTCACAGGGGAGCTGTTTCTCCTCCCATCCAAACCAATCCTTTCCGCCCTTTGGTTGGACCCCATCCCCTCATGCCTGCATTATTAACTATTCTCCTTTGTGGATCGAGCTCCCACCATAAAGCTCAAGCTGCCACCAAGCTTCACCTATTCCGAGACCACATTTCCCTCTAGTTGGTGAGCTCTATGTCACCTTTATTCACAAACTTCTCAAAAGAGTTGCATCTATTCACTATTCTATTTTTTCATCTACTCCTACTTCTTAATCTATTCTAGTTGAGTTTCGGACCTCCATTTAAATAGCACTCAAGTGACCATATCCTTCATGTCAGTAAATTCAATGGGCATTTTCAGTCCTCACTTGACTATTACTACTTTCTACTGCTCCTTCCTTTTTTAAAAATGAGACATAATTAATAAATAACATTGTATTGGTTTCAGGTGTACAACATAATGATTTGATATTTGTACATACTGCAAAATGATCATCACAATGAGTCTAGCTAACATTCATCACATACTTGCAATTTTTTTCTTGTGATAACTTTTAAGATTTATTCTTAGCAACTTCCAAATTTACAACATGCTATATTTTTTTAAAGATTTTATTTATTTGCCAGAGAGAGAGAGAGAGAAAGAGAGCGCACAAGCAGGGGGAACAGCAGGCAGGGGAGAAGCAGCCTTCCCGTCGAGCAGAGAGCCCGATGCGGGGCTTGATCCCAGGACCCTGGGATCATGACCTGAGCCAAAGGCAGACGCTTAAAGACTGAGCCACCCAGAAGCCCCTACAACACGCTATTATTAACAATGGTCACCATGCTGTACATCGCGTCCCCATTATTTATTTATAACTGAAAGTTTGTACATTTAACCACCCTCCCTCATTTTACCCACTCCCATCCCCTGCCTCTGGCAACCACCAACCTGTTCTCTGTATTCCTGAGTTTGGTTGTTGTTGTTTTACATTCCACATATAAGTGAAATTGTACTGTATTTGTCTTTTGATGACTTATTTCACTTGGCATAATGCTGTCAAGGTCCATCTATGTTGTCACAAATGGCAAGATTTCATTTTCTTATGGCTGAATAATATTCCATCCTATATACATATTGCAGCTTCTTTATCCATCAATAGTTTATTTCTATGTCTTGTAAATAATGTTGTAATGAATGTGGGGTTGTAAAAGAAATGAAATTTCTTTTAAACAAATATGAAGAAATGCAATTATGGGATCATAACGGTAGTTTTATTTTTAGTTTCTTGAGGAACCTCCATACTGTTTTCCGCAGTGGCTGCAGCAACTTACATTCCCACCAATGGTGCATGAGGGTTCCCTATTCTCTACATTGTCCCCAACACTAGCTATCTCTTGTCTTCTGATACTAGCCATCCTAACAGGTGTGAGGTTATAATTCATTGTGGTTTTGATTTACATTCCCCTGATAATTACCTGTTGGCTGTCCGCATGTCTTTGGAAAAATGCCTATTCAGGTCCTCTGCCCATTTTTAATTGGAGTTTGGTTTTTATGGCTATTGAGTTGTAGGAGTTCTTTATATATGTTAGATATGACGCCCTTATTGGACACATAATTTGCAAATATCTTCTTCCATTTCATAGTCTTTTCATTTTGTTGGTGTTGTCCTTCACTGTGCAGAAAACTTTTGGTTTGATATAGTCCCACATGTTTGTATTTGCTTTTGTCACCTTTGCTTTTAGTGTCAATCCAAAAACAGATCACTGCCAAGACCAATATCCAGGATATTTCCACATATGTTTTCTCCTAGGAACTTCACGCTTTTAATGCACTGAATTTGGTTTGCTAATATTTTGTTGACAATTTTTGCATGTTCATCAGGGATATTGGTTTGTCATTTTCTTTTCCTGTGCCATCTTTGGTTTTGATATCAGGGTAATACTGACCTTGTAAACTGAGTGTGAAAGTATTCTCTTATTTTTTGGAAGAATTTGAGAAGGATTGGTATTAAATCTTCTTTGAATGTTTGGCAGAATTCACCAGTGAACCCAACTGGTCCTGTACTTGTTTGCTGGGAGGTTTTGATTACCAATTCAAATTCTTAATACTAATTGTTCTGTTCAAATTTTCTATTTCTTCATGATTCAGTCTTGGTAGGTTGTAGGTTTCTATGAATTTATGCATTTATGCTGGGTTATCCAATCTGTTGGTGCATAATTGTTCATAGTATCTCTTTGATCCGGTGGTATCCACTATACCAACTCCTCTTTCATTTCTTGTTTTATTTATTCGAGTTTTTTGTGTATGTGATTCTTGCTACAGGTCTGTCAACTTTATCTTTCCAGTGAACCATCTCTTAGTGACATTGATCTTTTCTATTGTCTTTTTAGTCTATTAGATTTATTTTTGCTCTGATCTCTATTATTTCTTTCCTTCTAACCTTGGCTTTGTTTGTTCTTTCTCTACTTCCTCAATTGAGATTTTTCTCATTTATCAAAGTAGGCCTGTGATGCTATGAACTTCCCTCTTCTAACTGCTTTGCTACATCCTGTAAGTTATGATATGCTGTATCTCCATTTTCATTTGTCTCAGGCATTTTTTTAAATTTCTCCCTTGAAGGGCGCCTGGGTGGCTCAGTCGGTTAAGCATCTGCCTTCGGCTCAGGTCATGCCGCCAGGATCCTGGGATCGAGCCCCGCATCGGGCTCCCTGATCCACGGGAAGCCTGCTTCTCCCGCTCCCACTCCCCCAGCTTGTGTTCCCTCTCTTGCTGTCTCTCTCTAATAAATAAATAAAGTCTTTAAATAAATAAATAAATTTATTTCTCCCTTGATTTTTTTCCTCTGGCCCTTGGTTGTTTTTTTTTAATTTTATTATGTTATGTTAATCACCATATATT